CTGAGATTGGAGAGACTGGGGATGCCTTTCCTCCTTTCAGACTGCACTCACAGGGCAGTGGCTCTACCCAGGGGCAGCAGGTGGAGAACACTGGAACCCTGACTGCCCTCATCCCAGCTCACACACAGGGTGGGAGTTCCCCTGAGAAGAACAGAAGCTACCACCAGCCCTGCTCAGAAAGCAGGAGAGAGTCCCTGAGGGAAGAAGGCAGCTGTCCCCATCCCCAGCTCTGGAGCAGTGGCTCAGAGATTTTGCCCAGGGGAAGAGGCCTCCATAAGAATGGAGAACTCTGAAGTTCTTGTCAGAAGAAATGACTTTATTTGGAACACACTACAGGAAAATTTGAACCTAAAGGTGGTCTTGAAAACAATGGATATTTTGGTTGTGAGCAATTAAGAGGAAGCTGGTTGCTTCCTAAAAGCAACAAGCTAAACAGCAGGCCAGCTAGTTTACCAGAGAGTGCCAGGAAAGGGACAGACCTCCAGACTGAACTCAAAAACTATTAATACCTCAGCCAAGGAGAGGTAAAATTTAATTGGTTTGGGCTGTGGAGCACTTTATGCCCCAGGGCGTTGTCAAAAACAATAAAGCGATCAGCTAGCAATTAGTGGAGCCTAACAGCTGGGTGGATACCCAAAGGCAGGTAGTTTAACAGAGTGATCAGGAAAAGACACAAAGAAGACCTGGTAAAACCACCCTGGACCAAAGCTGACTACAAACAAGGCCAAGGCTGCTGTATCTGGGGAGCAACCTCAGAGGCTTCACACTGTGGGGAAAATGGGCTTCATTGAAATTATCCAGCCAAGTCACTAAACTAATAGACAAAAACAAGTTCCAGACGGAAGGAGGAGCAATCAGTATCCAGAATTGCCATAGTAAGTTATCTAAAGTATGCAATCTTTAATACAAATTTTGAGATATGAAAAGAAACAGGAAAATTTGATCCATACTCAGGAAAAAAACGATACAAGAGAAATTACGTACTATCTATCATTACTACCATTATTCACAGCTGCTTCTGTCACCTATCTAGAAAACCTAAAAGAATCTATAGAAAAATTATTGTAATTAAAAACAGTTTAACAAGGAGACTGGATGTTAGATCAATATATAAAATTTAATTGCATTTTTATATATTGGAATCAAGCAGTTAAAAAAATGTAAGGAAGTAAAAGATACCAAAATATAACAGCCATACACAAACATAAGGTACATAAGAAAAATCCAACACAAGGCTGGGCATGGTGGCTCATGCCTGCAATCCCGGCACTTTGGGAGGCTGTGGCTGGAGGATCACTTGAGCCCAGGAGTTTGAGACCAGTCTGGGCAACGTAACAAGACCCTATCTCTACAAAAAATAGAAAAATTAGCCAAGCGTGGTGGTGCATGCTTGTAGTCCCAGCTACTCAGAAGGCTGAGGCATGAGGATTGCTTGAGCCCAGGAGTTTGAAGTTGCAATGAGCTATGATCATGCCGCTGCACTGTAGCCCAGGCGACGGAGCAAGACACTGTCTCAAAAAAAAAGAAAGAAAAAAAGAAAAAGACAAGTGAAAAGTTCAGGAAGAAAAATTACAAAACTTTATTAAAGATACTCAAGGTGGCTTAAATGTTTATGGATAGAAAGACTCAATATAATAAAGGTGTTATTCCTACAATTGACTTGTAAGTTTAACGCAATTTAATCAAAATTCCAAAGGCGCTATTAGAGAAATTTGACAAGTCAAATTAAAAAATTTATATAAAAAAGCAGAAGTCCAAGAATAGTCAAGACCCTCCTTGAAGAAGAATAAAAGAAATTTCCTTCCTAGATATGATTCTTTTAAAAAGCTATACTATTAATAATTAGAGTATGGTATTAATGTAGTGAAATCTAAATGGAGCCTTGGAAGTGGATAACCTCAGAAACAGGCTGAAGCTGGAGGGAGCACTGAAGTCCTCTTCCGGTGGCAGGTTTAATCATTTCAATTTTCAATTGCGGGGAGGCTGGGGGTTTCCAGGGAGGGGCCTGGGTAGCTCAAGTGGTAGGATTGAGGGCAGTCAGTAGGCTCAGGGTGGTAATTGTATACTATCAGTAATGGAAATACTGTAGTTTAGTATTTTAAGAACAGGTACAGAGCCTGTTGTGTATACAGTTGTGTACTGGTTGCAGTTAACCTTGCACACTTGATATATGACAGAAGTGACTTAGATCATTGGGAAAAGATGGACTATTCAATAACAGGTGCCGGAAAATTATACATATGGAAAATACATATACATACATACGGTTATACATATGGAAAAAAGTAAAATTGGATCCTTGTACCATACATAGAAATAATTTTTAGATGGATTACAGTAGATTGAAAGGCAATACTTTAAGACTTTTAGAATAAAATTGTAGCAGAGATGTTGGCAGTCTGCTGTGGTCTGAATGTTCCCCAAAATTCATGTGCTGAAACTTAGTTGCCAATGTGGCAGTATTAAGAGGTGGGGCCTTAGGAGGTGATTAGACCATGAGAGCTCTGCTCTCACAAATGGGATTAGCAGGACTTTTAAAAGGGCTGGAGGGAACTCACTAGGCCTCTTTTGTCCTTTCACTATTCCAACATGTGAGAACAAAGCAACGATGTGCCATCCTGGAAGCAAAGAGTTACCCTTTCCAGACACCAAATCTGCTGGCACCTTGATCTGGGACTTGCCAGCCTCCAGACTGAGAAATAAATTTCTGTTGTTTATAATTTATCCAGTCTATCATATTTTGTTATAGCAGCAGGAATGAACTAAGACACAGGATTTGTGTAGTTTTATACAACTATTATGTACCCATAATTAAAAACAAAAAATTAAAAAAAATATTTTTGTGCTGCTTCCACGGATTGGAGCCATTGCTGGGAGGAGGTCGCCCAGTTAGGGGCTACATTTCCCAGTCCCCTTTCCTAGTCCTGTTGCACCTGGTCCACGTGACTGAGTTCTGGCCAATGGAATATGTACTGAAATGGTGTACACCAATGCTTCTCAAACTGTGGTAATAAGACCATTTCTCCTCAATCTATGGTGGACTGATACTTTTGTAAACTACAATAGAAATAAATTATCAGAGAAATGAATCTTAAAGTCCTACCAATACAAACTCAGAAGGAGAATGAATGCAGTCAATTTCCTAGTACGTCTTCCTTAGATTCCATTTCCATGTGGGGGTGGGCTGAGGTCGGCACTGTTCTCCCCTAGCTTAAAAGTTGACTTGTGTCACCCTAGCGTCCCTTTAAAGGAGAATGATTAGCATTACAAAAGTGATCCATGTAACCAAAAACATTCGTACCCCCTTAATATTTTGAAATTAAAAAAAAAATCTTAATAAAACAAAAACAAAAACAAAAAAGAACATCTACTATATTTCCAGCTTTGGACTATTATGAATAAAGTTGCTGTAAACATTTGTGTACATGTTTTTGTGTGAATGTAAGTTTTCGTTTCTTTGGGATAAATGACCAGGAGTGCAATTTCTGCATCACATGGTCGCTACATATTTAGTTTGTTAATAAACTGCCAGAATGTTTTTTAGAATGGCTATATAATTTTAAGTCCCACCAATAATATATTAGTGATCCAGTTTCTCCCCATCTTTATCAGCCTTTGATGTCACTATTTTTTAATTAAGCTATATTTTTAAATGTTTATTTCTTCTATACAGTGTCTATTATGTGCTATGCCTTTTTGGCAATATTTGTAAATTTTTGCTTTATTATTTATTCTTAATTTCTAGATGCTAATTTTTGTCTCTTTTTTTTGCAAAATTTCACCCAATCTGTCTTTGTTTTTTAACATTTTGTATATTATTTTGTTTTTATTTGTAGTTTTTTTAATTATAAGCAACTCCATATTGCTTACAATATTTTACTTTTTTACTTCATCACTTGAGGTCATTAAATATTTGCCTTATATTTTTTCTCATATTTTAAGGTTTTTAAGTTGAATTCATTAATATAACTAATTTGTTTTTTATCTATGTTGTGAATTAGGGATATAATTTTGTTTTTAATGTATTTAATATAAAATTTTAAAAAATTTTGAGTAACTCATTCTTTCCTTGACTATTTTAATGCCATCTTTGTTATAAATTGTATATGCATGGGACTGCCCTTGGTCTTTCGAGACATTGAGTTTCTCACACTGATTGCTATGCCAATAACACATTTTTAAAGTATGGCTCATGTGTAATACACATTGATCAAGGTACCATTTGCCGCATCCCAACTTTCAGTTGTCCTACCCCTTCAACTTTGTTCTATATTTTCATACTTTTAATGGCTTCAATTTTGTTCATATGAATTTAGAGTAAATAACTCAAATAACATAAAAATATTTCAATTAAATTCAATGTAATTCATAGATTGATTTCTACAGAATAACCTTTTTGTTATTAATTTTCTTCTCCAACCAAGTACTTTGTACATCTCTCCATTCGGCTACTAATTTATCTTTCTTGTAAACACTTTCAGCATTGTAAAGTTCATTATAAATATTCGCATTCTTATTGTCCACAGTTAAAATATAAATATTTTTATATATATTGACACCTTTGTTTACATTTTATACATAAACATTAAATAAATGTAATAAACTATTCAAATTTCATATGTGATGAATGACTTATTTTAAAAAAATAAAATATTATTAAAAAAATAAAATAGAGGAGAGTAATAGTAAGGATAAAGCCAATTTACGTTAACTAGGAGAAAATAAAGACCTAAAATCCTTGTGCTCAATGGAACTCTCGAAATTAAAAGGCCCAATCTCTGCCCTTCACCATAAAAAAGATCTCAGCTGATAAACCAGCTATATAATTTCACGCATGCGCAGAGGGCTCACGATCACTGGCAAGGGGCCCGGATAAGGGCGGAGCTAAACGTGCCGGATAATACGCCACGGAGCGCGCGTGCGTCACGTCGTAGGGGGCGGGGTGCAGAGTTGGTTTCCTCGGCGACCGCCGCGGGCTGTTCCGCGCGTGGAGCGCGAGCTTCGGAAGCATGGGGACTCCTTCCGGCTTGCAGGCCGACTGTGAGACGCTGCTCAGCCGCTTCCAGGAGACAGACAGCGTACGGTTCGAGGACTTCACGGACCTCTGGAGGAACATGAAGTTCGGGACCATTTTCTGGTGGGTGTTTTCTCGTCCACTGCCTGCCTCTCCCTGCTGCCCACGGGCTGTGTAGAAAGTTGCTTCCTTCCCGACCGTATTGCCCGTGTGGGAAGGGCTCAGAAGGGCGGCAGTCTCCAAACGCTATCTCCATCTCTCCGGGACCTTCGCTTGTGCTCAGGGTACGCCCTTTCCTTGGGCGATTTCACTGGGCCTCGATTGCATCCTTTTTAGGCCTCCTCCAGAATGTGCGTCCTCTACCAGGCCTTCCTTCTAAACAACTCTCTCCATCTTCACTTGCCTCCACCCAGACCCAGGCTACCACCATTTATTTGCCCTTCAGTCTTGTTCTTCGAGAACCCCATGTTTAAAACAGAACAGACACACAAGCAAAGACAAAACTCTGCACTAGTCAATTAATTTTTCATGCAAGAACCAAAGATGTCTTTATAAACTGCGAATTTGATCAGTCACCCGTCTGCTTACAACCTTTTAGTGGTTCCCATTGCCTTCGGGATAAAGCTCAAGTTTTCTGACTCGGCCGGCAAGACCGTTCATCCTTATTCTCTGGCCATCTCTCATCTACCAGTTCCCTCCAAGCACTCACTTTCTTGCAACTGCAGCTGCTTTTGGCCCTTTACAGGCATTTCCTAAGCCAGGAGCTTCCCCCAACTCCATTTGCTTGTCCACTTTATTCTTCTCTCACGATTAAGCTCAAATGACAATTCCTCAGGGAAGTCTTCTTTAGCTTAGAAAGACAAAGTATTGTGGAAAATGTCCATTATGTATTAAAATACACAAAGTTTTTGATTCTGTAGTATAACTGTGGTTATTTTAATATTAATAGATGTAAATACTTAACCAGTAATAACTTGAAACCCCTTCCTTCTTGCTCTCCAATTTGGCAAGTAAAGTTGACGCTTTTGGAAACTGCATCATGTTTACCTAGTAGTTGCCTGTACCTCAGTGTGAGAAGCACAGTAGAAAATTAGCTCTTTGTGGTTGAATGGTGAAAAAATCAGGTAAGGAATCCCCATCCAGTTATTAGCAACTGCTTTTTTCCTCCAATAGTTAAGCATAGTAGGGAATAGCAATTGGTTTTTAAACAAGCGTATACCTTTTCTGGCTTTTTTCCTTACTTATTCCTTAGTGAGTCATAGTATATTTTCTCTTTGTTTTCTAGTGGCAGAATGAGAAATTTAGAAAAGAACATGTTTACAAAAGAAGCTTTAGCTTTGGCTTGGCGGTATTTTTTACCTCCATACACCTTCCAGATCAGAGTTGGTGCTTTGTATCTGCTGTATGGATTATATAACACCCAACTGTGTCAACCAAAACAAAAGGTAATAGTTGATGAGTTGTTTTTCCTTAGCAGAAATGTAAAATAGGTACTGTATTTTTATAATATGTATCATATGATTAAACATGATTTAAATAGAAATGCCAGTATTCTTTTTGTTTGTTTTACATTGCCCATTTGCATTTATTGCACTTTAAACCTTGCATACAAAAGATAATGACAGATGCAAAAACTAGAATGGTGAACAGTGCAGGCCTGTCGGTAGGGAATGGGTGAGATGTCAGCTTCTCAGATTAAACCAGACAGGCAACTCCATGCAGGATATCGGGACTCGGGAGAGAGAGTATGCTGGGCTTCTGGGGCCACTTTGAAATTGGCATTTTCCTCAACCAGGAAGTTAAATCTATCCTGATAAATCTGTGAGTGCAATGGAGAGTGAGGCGGCCTTCAGGACTGGAGTGCAAGTTACTCAGTCCTAAAATAAATATTAGATGGTCCATGTAGCTTGATTTAGTCATTTTATGGACCATCCTCTAGAAATGCCAGTATTTTAAAATTACAATACATTTATGAAAAAAGACTTATATTTATTAGTACAACTTTTTTATTGTTTCTGGTTGCAGATCAGAGTTGCCCTGAAGGATTGGGATGAAGTTTTAAAATTTCAGCAAGATTTGATAAATGCACAACATTTTGATGCAGCTTATATTTTTAGGAAGCTACGACTAGACAGAGCATTTCACTTTACAGCAATGCCCAAATTGGTATGTTGCCTAAAATACTTTGGTTTTTCAAAATGAGCAATTATATTTCATTGTCCATAAAACACCTCAATCTCCAGGAAATGGAATGAATATTAATAGTGTTTAAGACTTGTAGCCTTCTTAAAATAGGAGAAGAAAATATTTTCTGATGACTTTTTTTTTCTATAAACAAAAATTTAACCTCTGCTTTTAAATGTTTCTGGATGCCACATACTAAGCAAATCGTTAGGAGAGGAAATTAGATTTGGCATCTGCATTTACTCATGCCTCTCTTTATTCAAACATTAGAAAGGTTACTGAAAGAGAGGAGCAAGGAATTTTAATAAATCACTTGGTGAAAAGTTGAAACTTCTAATAAATTTTGTTATTCCTTCCATCATGTGACAATTGAGACACTAGGTTGGAAGAGCACTAGATCTGGTTCTGCCATTAGCTAACAAATTATGTAATTTCTCAGAATCTCACCTGAACTTCTAAACATGTGGCATGGCATCTAAAAGGATAGCTCAGACATACAATTCTTTGGAAAATGGATATTTAACAAATATACATTTTCAACTGCTCTTGTTTCATCATGTTTACTGATAGACAGTTTTTACTGCTGACTTATATTTCAGTACTTTAAAAATATCCTTTAAAAGACATTCATTGTAAAAGACATTCTTTATCATACAGTTGTCATATAGAATGAAGAAAAAAATTCAACGAGCTGAAGTTACGGAAGAATTTAAGGACCCTGATGATCGTGTAATGAAACTTATTACTTCTGATGTATTAGAGGTAAATTTGCTTTTGTGCTTTTGAAATGTTTTTTAAAAAATTGTTTTTATTGCCAACTATCTATCGAGGTTATACCTTCATCTACTGTATACTGACAATTTTTCTAATGATTTTTTTTTTTTTTTTTTTTTTAGACAGAGTCTCACTCTGTTGCCCGGGCTAGAGTGAGTGCCGTGGCGTCAGCCTAGCTCACAGCAACCTCAAACTCCTGGGCTCAAGCGATTCTACTGCCTCAGCCTCCTGAGTAGCTGGGACTACAGACATGCGCCACCATGCCCGGCTAATTTTTTCTATATATTTTTAGTTGTCCAACCAATTCCTTCCAATTTTTAGTAGAGACGGAGTCTCGCTCTTGCTCACGCTGGTCTCGAACTCCTGACCTTGAGCGATCCACCCACCTCAGCCTCCCAGAGTGCTAGGATTACAGGCGTGAGTCACCGCGCCTGGCCTTTTCTAGTGATTTTAACCAGTCATAGAATACTATTTCTCTAAAGTATGGTGGGGGGATCCCTAATTATATCAAGATTTGTAAATCTTGGTTTTTTTTTTTTTTTGAGACAGGGTCTCACTCTGTCACCCTGGCTAGACTGCAGTGGTGTCATCACAGCTCCCTGCAACCTCGGACTCCTGGGCTTAAGCAATATTCTTGCCTCAGCCTCCCGAGTAGCTGGGACTACAGGCATGCACCCACCACACCTGGCTAATTTTTCTATTTTTTGTAGAGACGGATCTCCCTCTTGCTCAGGCTGGTCTCGAACTCCTGACCTCAAGCGATCCTCCCACCTCAGCCTCCCAAAGTGCTAGGATTATAGTTGTGAGCCACCGTGCCCACCCACAAGATTTATAAATCTTGAGGCTTAGTGAGAAACAGAAAGATGTAAAAGACTGGACTTGGACTCAGGATATGTGGATTCAGTTACTAAAATCACCATTTATATTTTTTGTTGAGGCAGGGGTCCTGCTATGTTGCTCAGGTGGGTCTCAAATTCCTGGGCTCAAGCAATCTTCCCACCTCAGCCTGCCAAAGTGCTGGAATTACAGACATGAGCCGCTGTACCCTGGCTCAGTAGTGATACTTAATGATACGTTGTACTAGAAATAATTTTTGTTATGTCCTGGATAATTGGTCTTTCCCTAGAGTCTCCGTATAACGGTGTACCTTAATTAGTGTTTGTTGAGTTAAATCAACGAAAGCATCCTCTTCATTAATAAAGCTGTACTATTTTGCTTGCATGATTATATTATTTTCAGTATACCACAGCATGTTGTTCCTTATCAATTCATAGTCACTTTGGAAGGTGATTTTATATTTTGTATTGGTTTTGCCTTTAAGTTTCTACTCAAAAATTGAAATAAAAGACTATCTTTCTACTTTCAGGAAATGCTAAATGTTCATGATCATTATCAGAGCATGAAACATATAATTTCAGCTGATAAGTCCAAACCAGATAAAGCCCTCAGCTTGATAAAGGATGATTTTTTTGACAATATTAAGAACATAGTTTTGGAGCATCAGCAGTGGCACAAAGACAGAAAGGTATGCAATCGCTTTTTTGACCCCTCACCTTTGTATTATACACAAATGTTAGAGGTGGATGATAATGTCGAGAGGCAGCCTAGATTAGTGGCTACATTCCTTAGAAGCTAAGATTTAGAGAGCTGCTTCAGTTCCACTTTTGCCACTTACTAGCTATATGGTGTTATTTAACTTTACAAATGAAGTATATATGTATTTTTGTAGAGGAGTGTATAGTCTTGTTATACCACAGATTAATTATAATCTTTATAAGTTGACATTTTCTAGGGGCTGCACACTGTCAGTCTTTGGACCACATCCTGCACACAGATGTGTTTTGTTTTGCACCGTTTTAATCCTAACATTGTCTTTAAAATTTGAATTAAATAAAAACATTTAAATATTTGTGGACTTCACCTAAAATTCAAGATATTCAACTTCTCTTAAAAATCAGTAGGCTGTGGGCATTGCTGACGTGCGTGGCAAGGAGCACTGAGGCCCTTTTGCTGAGGGGCTCTGTGCAGGCTTCTGCCCCCGCAATCCGTACCACACTTTCTCTGGATTTCCCCCGAAACACTGTGGTACTGTTTGCACTGCAGCAGGAGGCCTGAGTGGTGGAGTGAATGGGCTATTCCACTAGATCCTGGAGCCTGGCTTGAACATCCTCATCCCTGTGCAGGATCTGATATGTGCAGAGTCTCAAGGAAATTGTCATCAATGTGCCTGAGTAATTGGCTGTGAACCTTGACAGTGAAACTCTGCATGTTGATGGGGTCCTTTACTTGTGCATCGTGGACTCTTAGAAGGCAAGCTATGGTGTGGAAGACCCTGAGTACGCCATCACCCAGCTGGCTCAGATGACTATGAGACCAGAGCTTGACAAACTCTGTCTGGATAAAGTCTTCCAAGAGTGGGAGTCCCTGAATGCCAGCATTGTGGATGCCGTCAACCAGGCTGCTGACTGCTGGGGCAGCCACTGCCTTCATTATGAGATCAAGGATATCCATATGCCACCCTTCATGAATGAGTTTGTACATATGCAAGTGGAAGCAGAGTGGCAGAAACAGGCCATAGTTCTAGAGTCTGAGGGGACCTGACAGTTGGCCATCAAGTGGCAGAGGGGAAGAAACAGGCCCAGATCCTGATCTCCAAAGCAGAAAAGGCTGAACAAATAAATCAGACATCAGGAGAGGCCAGTGCAGTTCTGGCCAAGGCCAAGGCCAAAGCTATTCACATACTGGCTGCCGCTCTGACACAACATAATGGAGATGCAGCAGCTTCAGTGACCGTGGCCAAGCAGTGTGTCAATGCATTTTCCACACTGGTCAAGGACTCCATCACTGTCCTCCTGCCCTCCATTCCCAGTGGTGTCACCAGTATGGTTGCTCAGGTCATGGGTGTATATGGGGCCCTCACCAAAGCCCCTGTGCCAGGGGCCTAGGACTCTTGGTGTACAGCAGGAGCAGCAGAGTTGTCCAGGGCATGGATGCAAATTTTGATGAGGAACTTGATGGAGTCAAGCCGAGTTGGTGGAGCTGGGCTTGGCCAAGGAGTCTGGGGACAGGAAGGAAGTACTCCTAGATTCTGACTCTAGTCTCCCTGCCAAGAGTTTGGTTTTTATTTTTTATTCGAACTTTAATCGTGTAATAAATTCACCAGTGGCAAACCAAAAAAAAAAAAGAAGGTCCGGTAACACTTATCCCGCTTTCCGGCATAGCAGCAGACAGCTGGACCTGAGTGGTGGCTTCTCCCACAGTGATAGGCAGGGCAGGTGCTTCTCTGGTTACACATTCCCTACCTGGTGTGGTTTATCCATTTGCGAGTCTCAGCAACACAAATCTTCAATTTAGTTTTCTTAACCAAAAGTATTGATGCTAGAGCTGCCCATATTCCACATTAGCCTTTTCAGCCAGAGAAACTTTTTTACTCTGGAAACCTAAAGGCCAGCCTTGTTAAATTTACCTTTGAAATTACTACTCCGTCTTATTTTAGCAAACACTTTGGGGAAAAAATAAAAGTTAAAAATAAGGAATTTCTGATTACTTATTATGTGTCTGATAATGTGTTGGTGTTTGTGTTTTCACAAATGCTGCATAGGTATTATTATCTACATATTGTCTTTCAGAAAGATTTGTTGCCACCTTTTCACTTTTCATTATATAAAGGAAGCTGGCTGAAAACTTTATTTTATTTAGTTAAGTAATTTATTTATTTTGAGACAGAGTCTTGCTCTGTCAGCCTGGCTAGAGTGCAGTGGTGTCATCATAGCTCACAGCAACCTCAAACTCCTGGGCTCCAGTGATCTTCTTGCCTCAGCCTCCCGAGTAGCTGGGACTATAGGTGTGAACCACTGTGCCCAGCAGAAAACTTAATTTTAAAAAAGATAAACAAGGAAAGTGATAAGGAGAATGACAGTCTTGGGAGGAAGAAAGTAATTTTAGTCCTCTACCTGTATTTATTTTAATGAGAGATGTCAAGTTTTAGAATGTTTGTATACTTGAAGTGCTACAAATAGGTTACACAAGTGACCTAGGCATTTAATGTAAAAATCTGTTAGTGTTTTGATAGATAAACTTTCTTCCACTGAAGATGTCTGAAAATCTGAAGGAAAGGGGAGTAAACCAAAATTTTTTACTACCACATAAAGCTCATGCTGTCTTTCATTAGTTAGGAGGATTTAGGTATTTTGTTGATGAATTTTGGAAATATTCTGAAACCCAACCGTGATCTTAATGTCAGGTGGTAAGCCTCACTACAATAATGTGAAATGATCTTTTAGTTTTTCAGATTAAAAGAAACAGATTCTCACTGTTAGGACATTGATTTGCATTCAATTGAATTGTAAATTTGTGTATATGTATATGTAAATAACTTTTTTGCTCTTTCAGAATCCATCCTTAAAATCAAAAATTAATGATGGAGAAGAAAAGAGGGAAGGAAATTCACAAGAATCAGAGGTTAGAAAACTTTGCTGTATGATTGCTTATGGGGCAGTCATTAGGTTAGCTTCATTTTATGTGGGGCTGTGATTTTTATACTAAGCATTGTGACCCTTGATCAATATTATAATAAATACCACAGAAAATTCTGAATCATCGTTCTGTGAAAAGCTAGTATGTTCTTTACTGGAAACCTTGTGAAAGGCCACATCAGGTGTAGGTTGTGTGTGAGCATGTTAATAGTTTTCAGCAGGGAAAGGAAAGGGTGTTGGTGGAAGGCACCTTCAGTTCTTAGAGGGGCAGGGTAAGGCTTTTGTAATACAGCTTTTCTCGCTTGTCGTCGGCCCCCACTGTGGAGCCCAAGCTCCTATTTACTGTTTCCTCCCTCCAGAGTTTTCATCCATCTTAGTGGCTGAGACAAGAAGCCATCTTTGGGCATAGGCAGATGAGGAGGGAATGGCAGTAAAGGGCTCTGCCTAATCACACCAAACTTTCATTCATATTGTCCTCCTGGAATCCTGAATGCAAATGATCACTGTGGGCATGGTATCATGGCACCTGCTCTGTGCTAGAGAATGTGGTGTATGTTTATGTGTGCACTCAATAGGTATCCAGTAAATGTTGGTGTCTTTTACCCTACCTTCTGTCTCAGATCTGATTTCTGATAACACATACTTGGGTGTTCAAAATTTCACCTAATGTTTGTGTGTTTTAACTTTTTTTCTTTCTGTTTATTTCCAGAGATGTGAAAGAGCAGAATCATTAGCAAAAATAAAATCAAAGGCCTTTTCCATTGTCGTTCAGGTAAGTTATTTCTTTAATAAGGTAATTTGGAAATTGATTGCTTTTTAAATTACATTTTAATTAGTAATACACATACGTAGTTTAAAAAGTCCAATATTACTACAGAGTTATATAGCCTGACAGTCCTCTGCTGTACCACTTCCCACCCTTGTATTCTGAACCTCGAGAGGCAACATCTTTAAATTTTTCTCTTAAATATTTCTTTTGGTTTTTACCTGGAATTTTGATGCCATTTTCTTTGTTGTATTCCAACTTCTAGTATTCCTGACCTTGGAAGGTTTTAGGGCTTTTGCTTTATCCATGGAGTTCTGAAATTTCATGCTAATACAACTTGGTGTAAGTTTTTTTCATTCATTGTCCTTGACACTCATGGCAGCTGTCCTTCCAATGTGATATCCTTTGCTTCTGAGGAATTTTTTGTATTGTTTCTTTGATAGTATTCTTTCTTTTCTTGAACTTTTATTTTCTTATTTTTCTCTTCTACTTTGA